CCAAACACGGTAATCTTACATTCCTGCTAAACCAACCAAACACAAAATACAACATTTCCAGTAATCATATTCCCAGGTAATCTTACATTCCCACTGGTAATCTTATATTCCGTGAACCAAACACACCCTTAAAGTTTGGAATTATAACCACTAAAAGATATTCACAGAATTCTATCTAACAGCACATAATCTTCCTAATTTAGGATTTTATTTTCTGACACTCATGGTACTTGATGTTACAAACTCAAGGATGATTCGAACTCAAGGTTATAAGGTTTAGGCTCAAGAGGTTTGAAATGAGCTTGGGTTTGTGTTTTGGTGATAGGTTTGTGTGTAGGTTGATAGATATCAATTATACCATCCCAAAACTGATATGAGCTAGGGATAGGATTGCTAGGGTTCACAATTTTGGATAGTATGTTTGATTTTCAAAGAAAGTGACATCCATAGAATTCAACAATTTTATCATTGTTTTAGAATAGCACTTGTTAATATTCAAGTTGACCTACTAGTAGGGGATCCATCGCTTGCAGACAATTTGCCTATAAAATCCTACAATAAGGAGAAGGTTCTTAACTGGTCTCCGCCTCCTTCGAATTTCTTTAAATTCAATGTTGATGGAGCGGTAAGAGGTGATGGGCTGCAGGGAGGTATTGGAGGAGTCTTGAAAGATTCGGAATGTTCTACTTTATATACCTTTTCTTTTGCGGTGGGACCTGGTCCTTCCATGTTAGCTGAGCTGATAGCTATTAAAGAAGGGATTGATCTATTCATTTCTTCCGAATGGGCTTTGAAGGGAAGACTAATCTTTGAGATAGATTGTAAAACAGCAGTTGACTGGATTTTGATGCCATTTTCTGCCCCTACCTTTTTCAATACTTTAGTTGGGGAAATTGAGGCCATAATTTCTGCTAGGGGTATTATTGTTAGATGGATTCCTAGGTCATGCAATTGGGAGGCTGATAAGCTAGCAAAAGAGGGTATTGGTTGATGTTTGAGCTTTATGGTTGTTTTGGTTTGTATTATATTTCGGACAATTTATTAAGCTGCAATCTTATGTAAACATGGTTTTTTAATATAATGAGGTACTCTTTTCCTCCTTCCGCTAGTTGCCTCTTTCACAAGAGCCAACTATGAGGGAGGTTTTTAATGAGACCTCCTATTCCTATCCAAAAAAAAAGAATAGCACTTGTAGGCTTTCTGATTTAGAGAATGTATTAAGAATGTGCATTAGATGGATTTGGGATTCAATTTTCCTTTTGTTGTTGATTGATATGAACAAATGTTGTGCATCTAAAGACTTTAATTGAAATGTTGGAGATCTTTCGAGCATGTGCATATGAAGCACGGAATTCGACATGGTGTTTTGAACTTTGACACACAGAAAGGCATTCTATTTATCAAGTAATTTATTTCTAAGTACAACTTCCTCCCATAAGTGTTTTGGCAAATGCGTGAAGAGCATAAGTGATCTAGCAACCTTTAAATTGTGTATGATAAGGAAAAGCGGAAGCTTGGATCGTTTAAACCCTTATTGAATCTGATTTTTAAGAGTAAAGATTTAAGATTAAAAAATTCCTAGATGACTATAAAATAAAAATAAAAAAAATTTCTGAAGAGGGTCTTGATTGTTTTCGAGTTATGTACAGGGCTAAAGCTGAATCTGTTGAAGAGCAGGATTTTCGGTATTAATGTACAAGAATCAGTTGTTGGGGATTGGGCTACCTCTATAGGATGTTTTCGAGGCTCCTTTCCAACGGAGTATTTGGGGTTACCCTTGGGAGCTAGGAGGAATTCTATTCACCTATGGGAGCCGATTGTGAATAAGTTCTACAAGAAACTTGCAGGCTGGAAATCAAGTTATTTATCCATTGCAGTAAGGGTTGTTTTGATAAAATCAGTCTTGAATGCTCTTCCAAATTACTATATGTCGCTTTTCAAAATGCCAGTGGTTGTTCGGAAAAAATTGGAATCTTTAATGTCTAATTTCTTGTGGGGCTCATCGACAGAGAAGAAAAGGATCCACTGGGTTAATTGGTCTACTGTTTGCAAAAATAAAGAATTTGGAGGATTGAGTATTGCAGATCTTGACCTTCGGAATAAGGCTCTCTTGGGTAAATGGGTTTGGAAGTTTGGTAATGAGAAGGATTCTTACTGGAAGGCTACGATCTGTTCTAAGTATAATGTTGATAGGAGGTCAATTGTTCTAGATGCTAATTTGCCTTCCAGTACGTCGTGGATGTGGGAAGGAATATTAAAAAACTATCGGTTGAATGACTCTTTTGGGATATGTTTTCGAAATAACCTAGTGCTTCAAGTGGGAAAAGGAGATTCAATAAGGTTTTGGCATGACTCTTGGGCTAGTAACCATCCCTTGAAGACACAATTTCTGAGAATATTTGCTTTGTCGGTTAATAAGGATGGGGTTGTGGCTGATTTTGGGAGTGTTTGTAATGGGGAGTGGGTGTGGGATGTTCAACTGAGGAGAGATTTATTGGACAGGGAATTTGATCAATGGTTGCAAATGATGGTACTGTTGGATAACTTTCGTCCTTGTTTGATAGGAGAAGATTACTTTGCTTGGAAAGGAAATGGGGATGGCGTGTTTTCGGTAAAGTCTTGTAACAAAATTTTTTCAAGATTATCTGAGCCAGATGTCGCATGGTCGGAGATTGTGTGGAAGGGGTTAGTTCCACCTAAAGTAGAGGTTTTTCTGTGGCAAATTATTCATCAGAAGTTGCCTGTTAAATCTGTATTATTGAGCAGAGGTGTCAAAGGTATCGAGAATCCATACTGTGTGTTTTGTGGAGTGGAACCTGAGTCGGTGAGCCACTTATTCTTTTCTTGTGATCTGGTCTGGGATATTTGGGTAAAATTCTTACGGTTGTGGAATGTCTGTTCAGTACTACCCAATAATCCTAAAGGGTTCTTGCTTTCTTGGGTGGAATTGAGACCTAACTCGGATATTTGAAATTTTCTACCGGGAGCAGTTTTGTGGACTGTCTGGATTTGCAGGAATCAGATTGTGTTTCAGAATGAGAAGATGGATAAAGCTAATCTATTCTTTTTGGTGAGGTATAGGGTGGCATCTTGGTTCTTGGCTAAATACAAGAATATATCTATCCAAGTTGACAGCCTTATGGGTGATTTAACCTTAGCAGATGTGCATCGTTCCCCTACTAAGTTGCGGTTGCCGAAAATGAAGTGGTGTCCTCCTCCTTCGGGTCATTTTAAGATGAATGTTGATGGGGCTGTTACGTTTGATTGGAGAAGAAGCGGTATTGGAGGTGTTCTTAAGGATGCTCATAGTAAGCAGTTAGTTTCATTCTCGAGAGCGACAGGTCCGTGCACTCCGATTATGGCTGAGATTTCTGCGATTAAAGCAGGGTTAGAATTGTTTTTTGATTCAGTTTGGAGAGATAAGGGGATTCTGATTTTGGAAAGTGATTCATCTCTGGCTCTGAAATGGATCAACAACCCGGATCAATACCTGGTTCTCTACGTTGATTTGATCAGAGAAATCCAGAAAACTGTTATGCAGTTTAGTGTTCTGACTAGGCATATTCGCAGATGTTCTAATGGGGAAGCTGACTGTTTAGCTAAATCTGGAATAGGTTAATGAGTGTTGAGGTTATGGTTTTGTGGGTTTGGGTTACTGGGTTGTTGTAATGAAGGTCTTTGTTTTGTGTGTTTCGTTTCGGTTGTAACTCTTATGTTTGGTAATAAATTATGGGCACCCTTTTCCCCCTTCCAATGATTATTGTGTTTCTAAACACAATAACTAAGAAGGAGGTTTTTAATGGGGCCTAATTCCTATCAAAAAAAAAAAGAAGAGAGAAGAAAGGATTTCGGCTTAGGATTTTGTAGGATAGCTGCTGAATAGACTTTTGAATTCTCTAATCGACTCAAATATGAAAATAAAGTAATAAGGGTTAAGAATAGATTAAAGAATTAAATAATGGAAATAAAAATCAACGTTAACCAGTCTCGAAAGACAACTTCAATGACTTCTCTAAAATGCATTGTTTTACCCCTCCTATTCTTGTATCAGTGTTTTTTTTCTTTCGGCAACTTCATTTTGTTGTGGGGTGTCTACACTAGAGCTCCAATGCATTCTTCTTTGCTCCGTGAGATTGGCTCCGAGGATCAAGTTAAAACATTCCCCCTCATTATCTACCTTGAACTACATTTTTGTCTTGAAACTAGGTTTGAACCATATTGTTGGAATTTTGAAAATTTTGGCCCACTTTTGATGTTTCCTTCATAAGGAATACTTAAGTAATCATAGTGTGGTCGTATATAAGTTTTACTAACCACCTGGACTCGAAAATAATGTTGGTTCAAGATAGTCCATAGATATCTCTATGAATTATAAGGAAGAATGTATGGTTGGTATGGTTGATTTAGATAGGTATTTCAGAAATTTTTGGATAACTGACAAACTTTACACTAAAAATTTGTTCGGTTTTTGTTAAACAAGGAATGAAAAAATTTCCAGATACTTGAAATTTGGATGACCTAATTAGTTGTTCCACAACATAATTACACGATCCTTGTCTGGTACTAGATAATGTAGCCACACAAACTGTTTTTTGAGATTGTCTTTTCAGGAAGTTAACTTTGAAAATGTAGAGGCCTGCAGTCCAAGACCTAAAATTTGCACATGTTTGAAAGGGAGTTTAGCTACACAATTAGCGTCTCTAGTATTCTTACTTTTAGATGGCATATTACAAATTAGATCAAGTATAAACAATATTGAATCGAGGGTTATATTCCATGGAGATAAGAATTGAACATGTACCAACCACCTTAGAGAGAGACCCATCAGCAAGGCATACTCTTACATTATCACAACATGTATCAAATTTATGGAACACATTGGCATCTCTTGTCATATGATTAGATGCCTATGAATCCACAATCCTCTGATACTTTTGTGTTGTTTCTTGCGTTTCTTTCAATCTGTCTTTCATTATAATATTATTATCTTCCGGGAACAGGATTGAAAATCGCTCCATTTTCTTACCAATACTCTTCCAGCAAGTGGATGGCACTAGTGATTCATGGCAGTCTCTTCTTCCCAATACAGCTGCTTCTTTCTTATGGGAAGACCTTGGTCGACGGCATTTGTTGGAAATCCTTGCAGATGGAGCTGATCCATCGAGCTCAGACAAGTACAATATTGATGAGATTTTTGATTACCAGCCGGTTGATTTGCTAGGCCCTGTCAGAGCTTTACGGGTTACCATCCTAAAAGAAGAAAAAGTAAATGTTGTTAGGATCAGCGATTGGATGCCTGAAAATGAACCTACAGCAATAATTGATCCATCCTCATTCTCAGAGCTTTCCGGAAATGTGTCTCGTCAACAGCAATTGCAGTCCACCCCAGAATGTGAGTTTCATTTTATTCTCGAGCTTGCTGAGCTTGGGGTGTCCATTATTGACCATACGCCTGAGGAGATATTATACCTGTCGTTGCAAAATGTTCTTTTGGCATATTCTAGTGGCTTGGGCTCTGGACTTAGCAGGTCTGATATGCTTCTAATAAATTCTTTATTACTGCAATAAAGCCAGATCTATATTATTGCAATGTAAATTTGCTTGTCCTAAGAAGCATTGTTCCATTTCTACCAAAATCCATTAATTTTTAATTTGAACCAATTATTGGATGCCTTGCGGTAAAAAAAATGAACTTAGTTTATTCATGGATCATGAAATTGTTACATATTACTGGTCTCAGATAGTTTGCTTTTGTGATAAACTGTCTATTAATTCATTGAGGATTTTCCTTACCCATTCAGTTTTCATAGGATTACTTATCACAAGTACAAGAATGTATAAGTTACAAGTTGCATGTGTTTTTATTATCCATAAATTCACTGTATGTGGAAGTTGAGCACTAAAAGGTTCTAAACTTGATACATTACTTGGAATAATAGGTGGTCCTACACCTTTTTCCCATTCTGGCCTCTAAGATTTAGCACAATCCTGCTTTGTGGCACACTATTTTGCAGAGAACCTGATAAACTGTCTACTTGCAGTGCAGGCAGAATGATGTTCAGAATAGCAGTATCTTGTACCAAAATTTATCCTTCTTGTGTAACTATTTGTGACTGTTAACTGCTTATATCATTTTTGTTATTTAAGGTTCAAATTAAGAATGAAAGGAATTCAAATGGATAACCAGTTGCCATTAACTCCAACACCAGTTCTATTCAGGCCTCAGAAAAGTGGGCAGGAAACTGACAATATTTTGAAAATTTCCGTTACCATGCAGACAAAGGGATCACTGGATCTATCTGTCTATCCATACGTGGGTTTCCAAGTAAGCAATGTTAACTCTTGAAGTTCTGTAGAGTGTTAAGTTTTTTTACTTAGTCGTTTATATAGTCATCTTTATTTTGATTTGCTTATTACCAGGGGCCTGATAACTCTGCATTCTTAATAAACATTCATGAACCTATCATATGGCGCATTCATGAAATGATACAGCAGATCAATCTCAGTAGGTTATATGATAGTAAAACTACAGCTGTGTCAGTTGATCCTATCATTCATATTGGGTAAGTGAAAACTTTTCCAATTTTCATATGCAGGCTTTGCTCTGTATTTGATTGATTGAGGCTTATCATTTGTATTTAACCGGAAATACAGGATTCTCAACATCTCAGAAGTTCGTCTGAAAGTGTCGATGGCTATGTCACCTAGCCAACGGCCTAGGGGAGTCCTTGGTTTTTGGTCATCTCTAATGACTGCATTAGGGAACACTGAGAATATGACTGTAAGTGTAACGTTTAATCCCTTCCATCCATTTCCTTGTTTGTAAATCTTTCTTTTTTATGATATTCAATTATCTGGTTGGATCTGGAAAGCCACTTACACAAGTGTATAGAAGCTAGACGAACATGCAGAAAGATTGTCTAACTTGCAGGAATGAATATCTGTTAAGATTCATAACCTCCAAATACATATCTAGAAAATTGCACTAAAATTGTCGATAGATTAATTTGTTTTGGCAATTACAATGGTTTGGTGGCAAAATACTGAAATGTGACACTATGAACCAATATATTTTTATGTTAGTTAATTGTTATTATATGAATGCTACTGCACTAGCAACCCTCTGAACTATGTGCGGTCACACACACAATATATATATCAAAGTCTGCTAAACCAACTTTTGTGACCTTGTTTGTTATTGGTTATGCACATGTAATACAACTGTTTAATAACAGATTAGGATAAACCAAAGATTTCATGAGAAAGTGTGCATGAGGCAGAGTATGATGATTAGCAATGCTATTGCAAATATCAAAAATGATCTTCTTGGTCAGCCGTTTCAATTGCTCTCCGGACTTGATATATTGAGCAATGCAAGTAGTGCTCTTGATCATATGAGTAAAGGAGTGGCTGCTTTATCAATGGATAAGAAATTCATTAAAAGCCGACAGAGACAGGTATGTTAGAAACCCAAATTTGGATTAGTAAGCATACAGTTATTGCAAATTTTATGCTGGTTTGTCCGTGCTACATTAATTTATTCAAAATAACTTTATGAAACTATGATGTGCCCTGTTAACTGCTCAGGGCTTTGAAAGGTGTGTGATAACCCTAAATGTTGAGTGATGGCTTTTGGTTAGGATTGAGTGTTTGAATTTTGTAATGTCGTAGTTTTACCCTCTTGTAGAATTGGCTTTAGTAACATTGTGTATCTCAAATAGTTTAATGATGATTGATTGAAAATAATAGTTTATATAAATGATTGATTAGTAAAACCCCTTTTTTCCCTGCTGTGCCATCTTTAATTTCCTTTTCTGACTATTTTGTTGCACCCTTGAAGCATGCCTATGTTGATGGAATTAAGAAATGTTTATGTTGGCATGGAATTCTCCAGTCAAAGGCTCTCTTATAGGACATGCTAATACGGTATAATGTGCAGTTTGGGTAACAGTGTCTTCTGCATTTTATAACTCAATAGATAACCACAAGAGGTTACCATTGGATTAGGAAACACTTATTTCTCCCTACCTCAACAGTATGACCGTACAATTAGTTGAGTGTCGACCACTTTTTTCTTTTTTTTCCTCCTGCTCATGCTGTTGTTACATGCATGTCATGCTATGATATACAAAAGCCAAAAGTCATCCAATAGGTGTGTTCTTGGATAATGAATACTCGGTGCTATGCAGGTAACCATCTGGGAACATTCACTTTTTTTCCAATTTGACTTTTTCTGGCAGGAAAATAAGGGTGTAGAAGACTTCGGTGATGTTATTAGAGAAGGGGGTGGAGCACTAGCAAAAGGTCTGTTCAGAGGAGTTACGGGCATATTAACAAAGCCTCTTGAAGGCGCAAAAAGCTCTGGTGTCGAGGGCTTTGTTCAGGGTGTTGGAAAAGGCATAATAGGAGCAGCTGCACAGCCCGTGAGTGGGGTACTGGATCTTCTGTCAAAAACTACTGAAGGTGCGAATGCTATGAGATTGAAGATAGCATCTGCCATAGCTTCAGATGAACAGGTCCTCCGGAGGAGGTTACCTCGTGTAGTCACTGGCGATAGTTTGCTTCGGCCATATGATGAGTACAAAGCACGAGGACAGGTACTTTACTTTTCACTATCTCTTTTCACTTCTCAGGAATAGTTTACCTTTGAATATATGAAGTAGAGGACCAAGTCGAAAATACCCTTTCTTTTAAAAAATCTGGCCCTCCATTTGCTTTCAGTTTCAAACTAATCTGGTTTTATTTATGGATGAAGTTTTGATTTGATGATTACCTGCTTGTGCCAACCAACTTGCTACGTGATTCGTTTTGAAGGTCATATTGCAATTGGCGCAATCAGGTTCTTTCTTTGTTGATCTATTCAAAGTACGTGGAAAATTTGCATTATCAGATTCATATGAAGATCATTTCATGCTGCCAAAGGGAAAATTTCTTATGGTTACTCATCGAAGAGTACTATTATTGCAAGTAGGTCGACCAACTTGGTTGGGAAGTGGAAACATTTTACAACTCACCATTCATTTTCCTTTTCTTTTTTGTGTGTATTTCTGAACACAGAGGAGGTTTAAGATGCAATTTTTCCTCTTTTCCAGACAAGTACAAATATCACTCACAGGAAATTCAATCCGATGAAGGATCCGTGTTCAGTATTGTGGGATGTCATGTGGGATGATCTGAAAACCATGGACTTGACACGGGGGAAGAAAGACCTACTAAAAGCTCCACCATCACGGCTCGTACTCCATCTAAAGACTAAACAAGCAGATGCAAAAGAACAAGTTCGAATCATAAAATGCAACAGAGGAACTCATCAGACTCTTGAAGTTTACTCTTCAATTGAAAGAGCAATGATCACATATGGAAGAAACCTTTCGAAGGTTAGTTTCCAGATAACTTATTTAATTTATGTTCACTGTTGGTTTATCACCGTATCTTTCATACTTCGACATGATTTTGATACTTCCAATCTATCTTTTCAACGTTTGATTAAAAAGTCCCTGGAATTTTGTTTTCTTATTCACAATAATACAAGCATAAATGGTTTGTCATTCATGTGTTATGGATATTAAAAACTTGATAGTGGATGCACAGCATAGATGGGAATGTCCCTAAGCATTGCCTTGGATCGTCAGTGTTAAGATATTTATGTCCTAAAAACTTATTTCAATGATTCAGGAGCTACTGAAGAAGGCTACTAAACCATATTCTCCGGTTACCGACACTGCTGCCATTGAACTGATTCCGAAAGAAGGGGCTGCCACCTGGTCTCTTAAATAGGGAATCATCGTCACCGATAACTTAGCATGAGTTTCCAAGACGTGCTTTCATCTTCCGCTATGGATTTATTTATTTCGATGTTTCGAAGGACAATATTTGCAATTTGCAGAGCCCCATATAAACATGGATGCTTCGTCCTTCCTCCAAGCTTTATCTGCTATGCCATCCAAAGTTAAAACAACACTGGCAGATGGCTCTACGGAAACATTGAATGCATGAATATAGATATATTTAAAAGGATATTTCTTTATAGAAATCTTAATGTTAGTAAAATTATCATGTAATCAATGTATTAGGCTTCTGTTTTCCTTTACATTTCTGTGTATGTCTATGTTTTTCGAACGGTAACATGTAATTAATGATTAAAATTCATGAAGTTAAATTATTAAGACTGAAGCAGATGCGCCTTTGGAAGACAAAGCAGTTCCAGTTCTTCTAAATTCTCCAGAGTAGAATTCCGAAAAGTTGGCTCCAGTTATACTCCACCGTATCAAATCCTGCATTGTTAGTAAGATTGGACTGAAGCCAGTTAAATAAAGGAGCAGCGAAAAATAATGATATGTGATGCTGCGGCACAAGTTGCGTCCAGATTGAGCGGGCGAGGTGGCAGTCGCGCAGTACGTGGATAATAGACTCAACGCCGGTACTATACATCGGGCAGTAACCATCATCCGTGAACCCTCATCTCGTGTGTTCTTCATTTTTCATGAGGCGACGGCGCAACACTAGCCAAATAAAGTTCTTAACCCTATGGGGTCTTTTGAAGTCCCAAGCAAGTTTCCATTTGTTGTCTTCCACATCCCATCCATCCTTATTGAGAATATTGAAGCCGATTTGACAGAGCAACTTCCTGTTTTGTCCCATCTCCAAAAAGGGAGGTCCTCGCCGATACAATCATTTGGGGGGGGGGGTATTCCAAAGACCATTTGAACCAAGTCTTCAGGTAAGTTTTATCGGAGGCGAGTGTGGTCCCACTCTCCTTTTGTCGTAGCAAAGTCACGAACCGTGGTGTAGGGATTATGGCCTCGGTTAGCAGTTTTGAGATCGGCAACATGCCCATATCCGAGATCCATGAATCGTACCAGAAGCTGGTATTCCGGCCATTGCCAATAGACCAGCTGACATTCTCCCGGATGTGCACCCAAACTTTCGAGATGGATTTCCAAACAAATGACCCATACTTAACATTAATAGATATAGGCATCAGCTTCTTAACTTTGTATTTATCTCACATTATTCTAGCCCAAATCGAATCTGGTCGAATGATGAAGTTGTAGCCTAACTTAATAAGGAAAGCCTCATTCTGAGTCTGGAGAGAACGGATACCAAGACCCCCGTTATTAAGCGATTGACAGCATTCCTTCCAATTAACTAGGGTCATCTTCGGTTTATCTTTCGAACCTCCCCAAATGAACCTACGAGCAATTTGTTCAAGCTGGTCGCACACGCCTTTCGGAATAGCCACAGTTTGCATAAAGTAATTCGGAACTACGAGTAAAGTGGACTTCGCAAGTGTCACCTGACCTGCAAAGGATAGCTTGGTCGTCGTCCACCCATTCAGTTTCTTATGGAATTTATCAGTGATGAACTGAAACGTGCTTCTAGTGACTCTTGTGGAACAGAGGCATGCCGAGATATTTGCCTAGGTCCGTCGAGTGTTGGAACCCAAGGGATTTTCACAGAATCGTTACCTGAGCGATGTCCGTATTGGTAGAAAAGAATGCTCTAGTCTTGTTGGCATTGACTCTGTGCCTAGAGAATCTGCTAAATTGATCTAAAATCACCCCCAGGAGATTCCTCCGTAAGGGCACCATTCAAGAGGATTCGCATTGAAGACGTAGTGACTGAGTTCATGATGATGCGATGAATGTTGGGTGGACACCCCATATCCTCGAGAGAGAATCAGCAAGAAAATCCCAGCCAACGCAATCGTTGGCTTTTTCGAGGTCCACCTTAACCGTCATCCATTGGGATTTTCCCTTCTTCTTACGCATAGGGTGTATAGCTTCCTGCACCACTAATATGTTGTTTGTGATGTTACTACCTGCAATAAAACTTGCTTGGTTCGGAGCAATAGTTTTTGGGAATATTACTCTCAACCTGTTAGCAATAATCTTCATGATAAGTTTATATAAAACAGAGCATAAGCTAATAGGACGAAAATCAGCATATGGTTCAGGATTCTCAACCTTAGGAATGAGGACAAGGAGAGTTTAGTTAATCTTGGATTCGATTAATATACCTTTGACCCAGGTGCAGACAGAAGGGTCAACCGTCTCCCATTGGCTTTCATTATCTCATCATCCTTCCCCGGAGCTATGAGCGGACTCATGTCGAACAAAGCTTTCATTATCTCATCATCATGAACACTGGCATCCAGACAACAGATATCCTCCTGGGATAATCTTGGAAAGGTGTTCCTGATGGGGAATTTACTGGATCGACCACCCTCGTCATGATAAAGGAAGGCGAAGAAAGATATGGCCTCTGTCCGGAGAACTTCCTCATCAAAACACCAATCACCATTCTTCGGCTTGAGGTCCTGTATACGATTCATTTTGAGACGGTTTAGCGCACGACTATGAAAAACTTGTTATTCCGGTCGCCATCGATGATCCAATCGGACCTTGATTTTTGTCTCTAGAGAATTTCCTCATGATCAAGTACCTCCTCCAATTTAGTGGGGATATCAAATTCTTTATCGAGGACTGTCCATATCGTCTTAGATGATGGCAGGCTATTTTTTGAGATTATTCTTCTCTTGGACAATATGGTCGTAGACTTCCCGGTTCCAAATATTGAGTGAATTTATAATCGTATTCATAGAGTTCACGATATTACCATCCTTCTTCCAGCTGTCTTGGATAAAAGTCTTGAATTGCGGATGTTTGACCCAACCGGCTAAGAACCGAAAGGGTCGAGGACTATGAGACCGAGAGTGACAAACCGACTTGAGTAAGATTGGCCGATGGTCAGACTTGATACACGGGAGATGCTGGACGGTGGAAAGAGGGGCCATTCGGAGCCATTTGTCGTTGGCAATCATCCGATCGAGGCGCTCAAAGATTCCTCCGCGCATCCAAGTGAATGGGGGCTTTTGAAGCCCAAATCCATGAGGTTGTGAGTGTTAAGAAATTCCTAAAATAAGCAGCAACCTTTACCTCTATGAATACCACCTTTCTTTTTGTCATCAGAAAGGATCGCATTAAAATCCCCGGCCAGAATCTAGGGAACCCCATCTGTATTTTGCATACTGTCCAAATCCCGTCAGAGGCTCAGTCGCTTCTTCCTTTCGGGGCAACCATAGACAGTAGTTATAAAAAGAGAAGTTTTAGAAGAGTAACGAGCTTTAACCTGAATGAATTGAGGGTGGGCCGCCACCACTTCAACAAGTAGAGAGTCGTTCCAGAGTAGCCAAATACCACCAAAGTGTTGGGAAATAAACCAAGTACAAGTAATTTTCCTATAACCAGATTAGTGAGAATGCGAAATAAAAGTGGAAAAATAATACCCGAAAATTGATAACGGAGTTCAGCCAATTGTGCTTACGTCTCCGGGCTGCTGCAGATCTTTTACTAAGATAGAAAATTTACAGGTGTTTACAAAATACTCACTACTCACAAGAAAGCTCTCTAGTATAGGGAGAAAGAAATGTTTTGGGATGATTTTGAAGCTAAATGGGTAAGGGTATTTATAGTAGAAACTTAGGGACTAATCTTTGAAAATACCCTAAAGTGCAATGACTAAAGTGAATTTACCCATTCCTATTTTCAACAAACATCTACCAAAATTTTACCAAACTTTGAAAAACATTTTTCAAAGAAACATTTACCAAACTTTGAAAAAACATTTTCCAAAGTTGGTTGCCAAATTTTGAAACTTTTAACAATCTCCCACTTGAAGACTGATTTTAATATGTCTTCACACCTCGATCAATGCAGCAGCATGTCTGGTCTTGTTATTCTAGCATGCCAACTGAAGCTGAACACAACTTCAGTTTGTCCGTAGTCACCGTCTTTGTCAACATGTCTGCCGGATTTTTAGCTCCATTAATCTTTTCAAGTTTCAAAATCCCATCTTCCAGAAGAGACCGGATAAAATGATATCTCAATTGTATGTGCTTTGTCCTGGAATGAAAAGACGGATTCTTTGCTAGATGGATAGCACTTTGACTGTCGCAATACAAGATATTGTTTTCTTGTTTCTTGCCTAACTCTTCCAAGAAACTTTGGAGCCAAACCATCTCCTTGCTGGCTTCAGTAACAGCGACATATTCTGCTTCAGTTGTGGAGAGAGCAACTATCTTCTGTAGTTGAGAAATCCAACTCACTGCAGTTCCTCCTAGAGTATAGACATACCCTGTAGTGCTCCTTCTGATGTCGACATTTCCGGCTAAGTCAGCATCTACATAGCCTTTCAGTATCATATCTCCACCTTTGAAACAAAGTGCTTTTTTTGTGGTACCCCGAAGATATCTGAGGATCCATTTGACTGCTTCCCAGTGTACCTTGCCCGGATTATTCATGTACTTGCTAACAGCTCCCACTGCATGAGCAATATCTGGTCTGGTACAAACCATGGCATACATCAGACTTCCAATTACTGAGGCATACGGCACCTTCACCATGTGTGCACGTTCTTCCTCCGTCTTTGGTGATTGGTCTTTGGAGAGTCTGAAATGAACATCTAAAGGTGTACTTACTGGTTTAGCATCTTGCATGTTGAACCTGGAGAGTACTTTGTTGATGTACTCAGCCTGTGATAACATCAAAGTCCCCGACTTTGTGTCTCTCTTTATCCTCATCCCAAGAATCTGCTTTGCAGCGCCCAGATCCTTCATAGCAAACTGCTTCGACAATTTTTGCTTCAAGTTTATGATCTCTTGCATGTTTGAGCCTGCAACGAGCATGTCATCAACGTACAACAATAAAATAATGAAACTATTGTCGAACCTCTTAATGTAGCAACAATGATCTGCTTGGCATCTGGTAAAACCACTGTTACTCATGAAACTATCGAACTTCTTGTACCACTGTCTAGGAGCTTGTTTTAAACCATACAAGCTCTTCTTCAACCTGCATACCAGGTTTTTCTTGCCTGCCTCTATGAAGCCTTCTGGCTGCCTCATATAGATCTCTTCCTCCAAATCAC